TTCAGCTCCAGAGCAGCCTTCTCTGCCTGGCTGAGAGCCTGCTCCGGGGTCCCAGAGAGGCCACAGAACCAATTCCAGAGTAACTTCCTCCAGGACTTGCGTGGAACTGGAGGGATACAAGCAAGGGGAGAAGGGGGTTAGGCAGGGAGAGGCTGAGAGGGCACAGAGACAGGGATCTGGTGAGAGACTAGGGAAGGGTGAGAACCAAAGCTAAGGGGTGGGAGGGGGATGTCCAGAAAGAAGAAGAGGTACACAGACAACTTGGTCTTTTCCCCAAAGCACCGTCTGCATGCTGAGTGGGGGCTCTAGACTGAGCTCGGACTGCAGATATGGTCTGAGGTTGGCCATAGCATCCAGTCCTCTAACAATAACATATCGTTGTTACCAGGGGAGATGGCGCACTGAGTAATGAAGATGATCGCAGTAAACCTTGAAGTGGATTCTGATTCGTGGAAACCCTATGTGTGTCCGAGTATAACTCTGCTCCATAGGCTTTTCAATGCCTGACTATTTTCAGGTAAATCACTATATCTTTTTTTCTGGGGAACTTCTGGGTAGATTCAAATCACAAAGGTTTCAGTCAGCAGTCAAGTTCATTCATGGTTTGTTATTCCTCGTGGTCTCCAGGAGGAGAACGCATCACCTCCACCCAGGAAGAAGGAAGCATTTGAACGAACAGTCTACCGTACCTACAGATGATGCAAAGGATGTTGGACTGGAGGCCCGTGTTCCAGGCTTTGCCCTCAGTTGAATGTTGAGGTCATGCAAGCCCCTCAACTTCTCTGAGCTGCAGGCACCTCTGTCTCAAAAAAGCAGTGACATACGCCCAGGTTGGTTTTGGACATACATAGGAAGGGAGATTTGTCAGGACTGTGAAAAGTTACATGCTAGCGCAGTGGGAAGAGGTCTCCGTGTGGACAAGAGAGGCTGTGCAGTGAGGCCACAGGGTGCTCCCTGGAGCAGAGAAAGTCCTCACGTTCAAACTCAAAGCACTCTGCTGATGAAAAACCAAGTTTTAAAGGATAAAGAAAGGAAGTATGATTGAAGCATCTTTCCAGAATTAGCCGCTAACATATTAAAAATCAAGTTAATATAAGGAAGCTTTATAACACATTGGGAATGTGCTAATGGCTTGGGATGTAGTTATTGAAAGTTCAATGCAACCTCAGGGTGTCAGAGAGGCAAAGACCCTGAATATCACTGAATCTGGCTCCATGGTTATAAAGAGGAGAAGAAGAAAAAAGACTCAGAAATGAAGGAATTTACTTTAACTCACGTAGGCAATAAGCCTTACAGCTGCACTAAGAACAATATAAGTCCCCATCTTGTTAGTATTAGACTTTATCATTTTACAAGTTGGTCCAAATGGCCTCTCTTTTGTTTCTTCACACGATCCTCTGAGCCAGATGAGGGACAAGACTTTATGTGTAAAGCCCAAAGAGCTTAAGCCACTGAAATAATTAGTGAGGGCACGATCTCAATAAATCCACCTATTGTGAAAACACAGGAATCATATAAACTATATCTGTGGGAAGAGATGACAGAGAAGCTCAATACCATCAACCCAAACAAGGCCAGGGTCCACTGTAGAGCAAACCATTAATTTCCCCTAGATATAGTGACTGCATCATGCCAACATTATCCCTGAGACATGTGTCCCTCTGAGCTTAAATTCCCAAGTCATAGATGCTGGGGTTGGGCATAGCCTAACTGGCATCCTGTTGAGCTAAAACCAAGATAACTTTCTCCAAATTCTCCTTCCCCCAGCTATTTACTGGATCAAGGACAACACTCAATATTAAGTTTGGGAAATATAATTTTGTTGTATGGAATAACTTCTTTAGGGGCTAAGGTTTGCTTATTTTTTTT